TTCTTTACGTAGCCAAATAGTGTTATATATAGCTGAGAAAGGTATCCTGTACGGCCCTGGTATAGCTGACTAAGGGTAAGTACTGAAATTACTTATTATCCACCTTGTAAACGCATGAGAAACTTTAAACGCGTTTTTCTCGAAACGACATTTTTCAAATCGGGCGTGTATTTTTCTCACAAACTACTGGGCCGATCGACTTGCGCTTTTGCATACATATAGTGTACATATTAGGCTATCACCTGAACCTCCAACTTTTTGATCTCTTGAAAATTACTATTTTTCCGGACCGTGAAAATTAAATATTTTTTATCAAAAGTCGAACTATTTTTTTTTTCAAGCTTCGCCATTTTGTCAATTGTTCTTCAAATGATTTACTAGAGGTTCGGGCGATAACCACATTTATAAGGAATAAAATAAAAAAAAATTCATTTATTTGAAATGACGAGGACGGCCGCAACACTACGCCCGATAGAAGAGGAATTTCAAAACATGACCTGCGCGTCCATTTGTCCCGTGTGTAATTCTCAATAAAAAGCATTAAAAAAATTTGAGATGTTACTTCAAAATATGTGTAAATGTAAATACAAAACATTATATCTATAGGTTTAACCATTTTTATAAAATTAATTCTCTAAAATCACCTTAAAAATGGACGTTTACACTAGAATACCCCCTTAAGGTATTTTTGCCCAGGCGGGTCTGATATTAAAACGGGGCTCCCTTATTCTTAAATAATAACTTATTATTTAATAATAACAATGATTTAAATGCAAAATGCATACATATTTTGCATTTGCTATTTAAGAAACGTGATTGTTCGTATAATTTTTGTCGTTTCAACTTAAAACAAGAAAGTTCTGAATAATACTGAAAAATAAACATACGAAAATAATTCACATTTTGTTGAAATTACAGTGGTACTTAAAATTTTTTTCTTGATTTATTGTACGCAAATTCATTGATTAAATCATTAAAATCAAGATTTCTCAGCAGTTCGCTCTCTAAAGATAATAATACCAATTATTAAATGATAGTCTAATATCAATCATTGTGGGTTGATATTTATTTTTTATTATTAAAATTAACAATTTTAAGCTAAGGGGCTTGGGACTATAACCCCCTTAGCACCTCTTTCCCTTAAACCAGCAATGAATCGAAGAAAAATATTATTACGACATTGAACTGGAAAATGACGACGATACTGAGATCGAAGATAATGATTAAGATTGTGTAAAAAAATAAACAAATAACACAAAAAAATAAACCCTACAATTTTTGTATATAAAATATTTTGTTCGAAATTTGCAAGAAAATGGCAAAATTGGTTTTCTGTCATTTTGAGTACCTTTCCAAAGGTTGTCAATAAAAATTTTTCTGTTATTATATTTCGAGAATCCTAAGATATAAATTCTAAAAGTTTTATTAACAATAAGTGAATCTGTGTCTGAAACTTTCATCAAATTTACGGTTGTCCTTATATAAAATATAATCATATTTTATATATGTTATATAACATGCAACTATTATAATTAGTTGTACAAAAAATTATTTATATAACTTTAAGTTATTAAAATACAACTTTTGCTATTAAAATATAAAAATTAATATAATTTATAATAAAAATTTTTTTTTTTATAAAAATTT